GACCTGTGAATCGAGGTGCACACCCTGGTGTGATCCCTCACCTGCATTGCAGATCTTCACGGGCTGGTCTTGGGATTTCCCAGAGAGTCAGCTTTGAAAACAAAAAAACAAGAAGAGAAATCTTTGTTAACAACAGAGTAGATATTAATGATGTGTTTGTGACTATACCTACATGTTCACTTTAGAAGCTGATATTATTTGAATGATTTGAAAAGTAAACATCTAGACATGAACTGGGTTGCTCCTCTCTATAATATGGCTTCATTTTATTAGCTAACCCCTAGTGGCGCTAATGGTAAAGAGCTCGCCTCCCAGTGCAGAAGACATAAGAGATGTGAGTTTGATCCCTGGGTCAGAAAGATTCCCTGGAGGAGGGCATGGCAACCCACTCCAGTATTCTTGCCTGGGTCAAAAGCCCCCTCCTTTCATTTCTAAGAGCCTGATTCTCAGAGCTGCTACCCAAGCATGTCCCGCCTGGGTAGAGCAAGTTCACAGCTGAAAAATGTCCTGGTTCTTTCCTCTCAAGTGATGTTTTTCCAAAGGAATTAAATTTTTCTAGAAGGGAAATAAAGTGGTGTGTGTTAAAGGGGTTGGTGGGGGAGGGATGGAACAGAATTTCCGTTACCACAATTTCACAATCAGAAAGAAACTTCCCTCTGATTCTCTCCAGAGCAACCCACATGCTCTGTAAATTGTCCCAAAATAACCCATTGCATCTGATGCTATTGAATTCTTGGCACCTGGTGACGTTGTTATCTCATTCTCTTATCTCCTGTTATTCTTTTCTTTGGAACTGTAGAGTGAGATGCTTTTTTCTTTAAACTGGGGTGGCCAACCTTCCTGGGTTTACCTGAGATGAAAGGTTTCCAGGGTGTGGGACTTTCAGGGCTATAACCAGGGAAAAGTCCCAGGCCTACAGTTGAGTCTCTTGCCTCCATTAAGCGAAGCATTCGTCTCTGGTGTAAGCCTCCCAATACATGACAAATTAAACACAGTTGCACTGTTTTGTAGTGTCAAATATAGCAGACCATCCACCAGGCTGTGGAAAATGGGTCCTACTTGGGAATCTGAGCAGAGGAGAGCCAATCGCTATTGAGAAGTAAGCCACCTTAAACTGGAGGGAGAAAACTGAGGTTTTGGATGTTGCTACTGACTCTTAGGAGCTTCCCAGGTAGCACTAGTGGTAAGGAACCCACCTGCCAATGCAGGAGACTTCAGAGACATGGGTTTGATCGTTTTGGTCAGAAAGATCCCTTGGAGGAGGGCATGTCAACCCACTCCAGTATTCTTGCCTGGAGAATCCCATGGACAGAGGAGTCTGGCAGGCTCAGTCCATAGAGTCACAAAGAGTTGGACACAACTCAAGTGATTGAGCATGCATGCACTGACTCTAAAGCAGGAAATGATGAAGGATTGAGGGAGAAGAATAGAAAACAATGAACACGGGAGCACATAGTCCTCCACAGAGGTCTTGCAAACGGTTCCAAACCAGTTCACACAGTTTTCACCAGTTAGCACAGCCCCCAACAGAAATAGTTCCCCTGAGTTTCTCACATGAATAACATCCTCTCCCCTGCATATGTTGCCCAAGGACTGTCCCATCACAGACTTGCTACTTTTAATCAAAATATAAAGGAACAATTAACAGTATAGGAAGACAAACATCATAAAATATCACTTACATGTGGAATCTTAAAAAAAATGATGCAAATGAACTTACAAAACACGAAACAGACTCACAGACTTGGAGAATGAATTTATGGTTGTGGGGAAAAGAGGGGAGGGATAGATTGGGAGTTTAGGATGGACATGTACACACTGCTATATTTAAAAGAGATAACCAATGAGGACCTACTAAAGAGCACAGGGAATTCTGCTCCATATTCTGTAGTAACCTAAATGGGAAAAGAATTTGGAGAATGGCAGTGGGATTGGCTTAGTCACTAAGACGTGTCTGACTCTTGTGACCTCATGGACTGTAGCCTGCCAGGCTCCTCTGTCCATGGAATTCTCCAGGAAAGAATACTGGATTGGGTTGCCATTCCCTTCTCCAGGGGATCTTCCCAACCCAGGGATCAGACCCAGGTCTCCTGCATTGGCAGGCAGTCTCCTGCACTGCAAGCAGATTCTTTACCAGTTGAGCCACTGAGCCACCAGGGAAGCCTGGATACATTAATGTGTGTAGCTGAATCACTCTGCAGTACACCTGAAACTAATACAACATTGTAAATAAAAAACTTCAATATAAAGTAAAAAAAAATTTTTAAGTATAGATCTAGTATACCTGGTCTGTTACAGGCAAAAAAAGAAAATTCAATTTGGATTTTGTCATCTAAAGAGCTGTGAGACTCCTGACACTTTCAGTCTTTTAAACCCCAGAGTATCAAAAGCACCATCACACTGACCCGTGGGTTGTAGCATAGAAACTGGCCATAAGATTGGAACACATTCCCACCTGCTCACCTGGGCTTTTGAGGGGAGCCTGGGACTCCTCCAGGGGGCATGATGTGTGTGAGTTGGACTCTGAAGCCCTTGGCTAAAACCACTGTTGGATTTTTTTCTTTATGCGTTATATTATTATTAGCTGGACACCTGAATTCTTCCACAAATCCCAGATCCAAATTAGACATGTCGCATCTTAAAGGGTGAGGCTGGAAGATAGAGGATGACATTAGTAATAGGGAGGCAGAGGAGACACCTGTGAGTGCTTCCGTTTGTGTCACTGAATGCTTCTCATGTTACAGCGTAGGAAGCTGCCACTTTTGTGGATCCAGTTTTTATATCATTCATCCTAATACATTGTCTTCTAGAAGCCTCACATTAAGTGCACTGATTTTACCCTCTTTTTGTATGAGAACACTGAGGTGCGAGGATGCAGTTCCAGTCCATGGGCGATCCCAGCTTGTCCCAGGTCTAATTCCAGACACTGTACTCTCACCCATGACCCTTTAGGGGCCATCTTTGACCTGATTCCCCAATCCTTTGATCTTCTCCCTGGCCTTCCCCAATATGCAAACTTCTGATGATGAAGGATGAGCAACCTTGACTGATCAGGTGTACCCAATAAATGGTCACAGGCAGGCAGACACATGGATGGGGGGGCCAGAGTGGACTGACCGCCCTGCCTTGGGCAGGGTGACTTCACCCCACTGTGGCGGGAAGCTCAAGCTCATGGACCCCGAGATGCATGTGGACTCTCTGGGACGAAACAGGCAGGGCCCCTTGGGGAGCCACTGGTCCCATGAGGTGATGCCTGGGAAGGACACAATGCGATCTCCATTTCTCTCCCTGCCTCAGGCCACCAAGGCTGATGACCCAAATGTCGACGTCCCTGCCCGATGCTTCACTGAGAAAAGCCCGGTGCCCACCACAAATCTCGCCCCTGCTGGGAGGTCAACACATAAGCTGTCTTCTCCTTACGCCCTAAGTTTATTTCACAGTTTGGACCTTGCCTGTTCAGTCTTGGAAATATTTCAAATATGCATATACTGTGTTCTGAAGAGCTTCCACAGACACTGTTTATTAGTCACTTTGATCTAATTCATCACACAGAAAAATCTCAAACAAGTACCAAGAGTCCTTTCAAGGGGTGGGGGTGTGGCGCGGGGGGAATGCATGTTGAGACAATAAAATCTGCCTAAGCCCCCAATTCCCGTTGGTGCCATGGGTTCAAAAATGTAATTAAAAGGAGACCGTCGATTTCACTCACCATTGTCAAAAGGCCACGTCACCCCCTGGAGGAGAGGCGCGCTTTAGTCAATTTCCCCGTCCATGCCAAAGTTTCAGAGAGACCCTTCACTTTATAAATCAACTCACAGCTTAGAACATCCTGGCAGCCCCTTCAAGGAACCGAAGGGAATGACAGGCAAAGAGAGGATAACCATCATAGCTTGACTGGATACAGGTGTTTGCGTTTACAGACGAACCGCAAACGCCTGGATCTCTGACAGGCGTTGACGCTATCAGTGCATCGCAGCTATTATTGGCTCCGGTCGCCAAGGGCTGGGGGGCCTCTTCCCTTAGCAACATCTCTGAGGCTGATAACATTTGGCTGAACTTTTCAGATCTTAACCTCCCTCTGACTCTCTGCAGTCAAACCCGCCTAAACTGATCAGAAGAAGAGACACGCAGTGGGAAGACAAGTAAAATATTATTGACTGGACTGTTTCATGTCTATTAGGAAGAAAGAGCAGAGAGCGGAGGGAGAACCTTACAGCTTGACAGGCTTCAAGATAATCAGGGGAGGAATCAGGGCTGCACAGTAACCCTCGGTGAGGTTGGAAAGCACGGGCTCACGAGAGGCCATTGTTCTTTGCGGGAAACAAACAGGGTGCTGGGCAAACAAGCGCAAGATTGCATTCCTCCGCCGGACCCTGCTCCTCTCCAGAGGCACCCCGACTCCTACGCCAGAGCACAGGCTTGAAATCAGGGAGCCCTGTGGCTCCAGAAGAGGTCTCACCCGGAAGGTTTTTCTTTTTTTTTTTTTTGGCCTCAGGCACATCCCAGTACCTTTGTTCAAGGCAGGACCTGCAGACACAGGCTATGCTGCCCTTGAAGAACTTGGCCCTGACAATTGGTATTGTCAATTTGTTTCACTTCCCTGCTTCTTGCCCAGGGCGGCCAGGACTGACCTCTTGACCTCTCCAAGTTTAAGTCTTCAGCAGTCTTTGTGTGTGTGTGTGTGTGTGTGTGTGTGTTGGAGGGCTGGTGGCTGGAAGGGCCCTGCTTGCTCTGAATGACCCTGAGGTCAGTCACCACGGCCTTCCACGACCCCACAAAGGGGTCATTTGATGGAAAACATGCTCCCTAGTGCCCCCAACCCACTGGGAAGGACAACACCCCACTTGATAACCACATGCAAGGTCAGGCTTGCTGTCCAAAGCAGAAGCCAGGGTCTCAGACACTAAGTCGGCCCTCTGTCAATCCCCAGCCCCGCACCCCCTGTTACTCACCCCTTTTTTTTGCAGATGAGAACACCAGCAGACAGACAGGGAGGCCTCAGACACCCTACTAGCGCTCCCCTCTGTCCTCATGTCCCCTCATGGACAGAGGGGAGCTCATCACGTGGGTCTGCTCATCACGGAGCCATCTCTCTTCCAGAGACACGGCCTGTTTTCCCCTGCCGTGTTTCTACTTCACATCTCAGCAGCCTTGATCTGTACAAATAGTTGGCTACTGGTTGGCCACATACACTGTCCTCCCATCCAGGGAACCATCTGATCCTCTGGAACCACGTGACTTTGTCCCCAGGAGTTTCTGGCCCTGCAGGAAGAGTGGGTGAGTGACATTTCAGCAAAACTGCAGGACAGGGTGACAGAATTAGGATGACAGTACTAGAAGGAACTGAAAAGTCCACTTCTCCAATTCTTTAATCCCAAATACAGGGACACTGAGACACAAGGCAAGGAAAGGAATGACACTTGGGTTTATAAAAACCTGTCCCCATACACTTGCCTCAAGACATGCTCAGGTATATGTCCATCCAGGCTCAACACCCCCCCTTCCCATCCCCTTCCTGCCCTGTACATGCTCATTGTTCTTTGATTTCCCTCCTAGGACCTGCCACAGAGCTTTCTAGAAGGCTGTTTCCATGACATGATGGTGATAATGATGATGACGATGACAGCAGCCATCAGGTACCAAGCATTGCACTACGCCAGGCCCTGGCCTAAGGCCATCACGTGGATCATTTCACTCAGTCCCCAACACGGTTCTTTTTGCATTATGAAGGCTCCAACCCCATTGTGGAAGAATCATCACCATTGCAGGGGAAACCCAGAGAGGTGATGTATCTTGCTCAAGCTCACATAGGAGAACCAGAAGTCCAGCCTGTTTCTCCACACAGCCACCCATCAGGGTTGTCCCAGGGTAGGTGGGTCTGTTCCCAGGATTCTCAACATCCCCACAACCATGTCTCTGAACACAGCTGCCTACCTCTCAGTCTCCAGACACTCCAGGGGTTTGACTTCCTGGAGACCTCTGGGAAATGGACCCCAACTTTCCCCTCCTGTATCAGCCGCTTCCTGGCTGATTCTCTTTCCCCTCAGCCCAGAACCCACGTAGGTTCATCAAATTGGCTGCTCTCAGCTGCAGTGTCCTCACTTTACCCATCTTTTCCCTGCAACCAACCAAGTTCAAACCCTGTTCCAGCCTTTTCCTTATTCACCATACAGTGTGAGGTCTGCCACCTACAGACTTAGAAACATTTCTGGCCATACCTCCTTCCCATCTGTCTCAGCGAACCATCCTTCTGCTGAAGACAAAACCTTCTCTCTCCTCTCCTCCAGTCTCTCCATCATCACTGGCCCAAGGCTCCTCCAGCCTAAACAAACCACCCTCGACCCTCACTTGCTCCCCTTACCTGCTCAAGTCACCCATGACTTTCCTGCTGCCAGATCTAATGGGCACTTCTCAAACCTTACACTGGTGGACACTCCGCTGCATGTACCACTGGTGACCACTTCTACCATCTTGAAACTACCACTTTGACCACTGCTTTTCCTTCTATCTCCCTGACCACTCAGGCTCCGTTCCATCCATGCTTCTGCATTCTCAACCTGCTCCCTGATGTTGGTTTTCTTCAGGCTTCCACTAATAATCCTTACACCTTTAATTCCCACCCCAGGCACCATCTCACCCATTCCCTATAGACTTCAGACTTAGGTTCTATCTGGCTGGACCGTTGCCTTCAGCAAAAAACATGTGCTCATGCTAAGTGTCCAGTGTCTATGATTTTTTTCATGGTTATCAGGTAAGCTGGTTTGGGATTACAGGTGGCTTCCTGAGGTGATTGGCCACGGGGGTAAAGTGTGCTGATGACAATCAGAGGTGAATTTCCAGGTCAAGGTCATTTTATTACTCATGTTGAATTAACGGTTAGTTCCCCAGCATGTGAAAGACGTGAGAGTTGGTCTCAGCTCTGTTAGCCAGATTCTACCCATGGTGAGACCTTAAGCTTTTGAAGAGGAATCAAGAGTCAGCCACCTTCTTCTCCCACAATACTGCACACTACCATGTCCATCTATCCTTGTTCTAAGCTGATCTCCACTTGCACCCTTTCTGAACCTGAGTCTATGCCTTAGAGAGGAGTCACGTGTTGGTGATGGACAGAGCCAGCCTCCAGCTCTTCTGGGCCCAGTGCTTCCAGGACACAGGTCAGCTATGATGTGGCTCTATCTTTGGTGCACTGGGCAGCCCCCATTCATTTGCACTCCCCCCGGGAATAGGGTGGCCCCCTGTAGCTGTGTGATACCATGACTCTGGGAGAGGGTTGGGAGGTGGTCATCAGGAAGAAGCACCCTCTTTAAACAGGTTTGACGTTGCTCTGTCCTCAAAATTGCTGCCCCTGAGGTACAAGGACCTGAAGTTGAAGCAGGTGATGGCTAGCCATTTCTTCTTTCTGTCCCAAATCTTAGCACCTCCATTCATGTCCATCCAAATCTGAAAACACAGAGGGTTTGGGGGAGGAAGTTTGAGGCAGGAGGCCTGAATTCAGCTTCCCCCTGTGTCATTCACATGCTGATGACTTTGGGAAACTGGGTTGATTCAAGCCTAAGGCAATGAGTAAGCCAAGGGCAGAGGTTATAGCCAGGGGTGGGGGTGGTGTCTTCCCAGGGCCTTCCTGGGCCCTCCTCCTGTGTGTCTCTCTGGGGGCCCGCTATCCACGTCTGGCTCCTTCTCACCTTCCAGGTTCAGCAGTCACCTCCTTGGAGAGGACTCCCTGCCACCCATGATAGCATAGTGCCAAATCCTGTCACTCTGTAACTGAAAGCTCTGTTTTATTTTCTGAAGAAGATATGAACGGGCTTTTTGTTGTTGTTGTATTTCTTAGTTACCTGGTGGTCTAAAAGTTCTAGATCTTAGTCTGAGGTAGAATGTGCCTGGCTCATAGTAGGTCCTCAATAAAGAGTCACTGATTTGCAAATGAAGGAATGAAAAACTGGTGATTTGACATCCTCCACCCTAGGGTGGGGTGGCGTCAGGGTTTTCAAAGGTCCAATTCTTGTATCTCAGTGGTTCTGCTTCTCATGACTTTCTCCTCCAAACACTTCATCAATGATATAATAGCTGGGAGTCCTCTGATGTACGTATCCCCACTTTGGATTCAGGGTCCCTAGGACAGGGATGGGTCCCACGGTCACCCTGCACCCTTTCAGAGGAGCCCAGCCTGGATCCAACCCCCAGGCACTCCTGTGCACTAAGTCCCCTAGAGAAAATGAGAACTACTCCACAATAGATAGGACCAGACCTTCCCCAGGCGAGAAGTGTCTGTTGACACCTTCTTAGAATGGAGTGAGTGCTCATTGAGCAGGGGCTTTTATCCTCCCAAAGCCACTCCAGAGGAGGCCCAGGCACCCGTCCCCTCTCAAAACCCTTCTTCCCTTTGATCTCGTGTGATTCTCCCCAAAGTTGAGGGGCTTCCCTTGTGGCTCAGCTGGTAAAGAATCTGCCTGCAATGCAGGAGACCTGGGTTTGATCCCTGGGTTGGGAAGATCCCCTGGAGATGGGAAAGGCTCCCCACTCTAGTAGGCTGGCCTGGAGAACTCCATGGACTGTATAGTCCATGGCGTCACCAAGAGTCGGACACGACTGAGCGACTTTCACTTCACTTCATTTAAACTTGTAGGCGAGATCTGACACGTTAATTTGTGTGTGCAACAAATCCTGCTAGTGTCCAGAGTCATCAGCATTGTGTCTGGTGGTTCCACAGCAATTACACCCAAACCTTGACCGTCCGTCCTCAGGGGTCCTGTTCATCCTTTCTCTCCACCTGGACTACACCCCCTGAGGGCTAAGTGGGGGCACCTCCCCCAACTTATGTAAATAAGACTTCACTAAAGAGCATCGTAGATAGAGCTCACTCATAGGGAGTGCTGGTAGACCAACAAGCCCTCCTGTTTGGCTGATATAGAGATACACCCAGGAAGAAAGAAATGACACAGGGGGAATAATGAAAAAATAGTTTGGGAGGGGGGAATAGTGATACGTAGAAACAAAGAAAGATTACGGGCAAAAATTCATTAAGATCTTAAAAGAAAAAAAAAAACTATTCATGGTATGTGCAGGAGTGAGGGGCTATGAGTTGAAGGTTAAGCAGAGCTGTCCTCTTGGCCTGAACAGTCTAGTCTTACATCATACCTCTCTGCTATCTCTCCATGCTATAAACTATAAGCGGCTCCATTCCAGCAATTTCCAGGAACAACCAGCAGTCCAGCCCTAGAAAAATCACCCCTCAGATGCAATGATGGTCATCAGAGCAGTGTCACCCCAAGTCCCGAGGAGATCCAGGCTGGAGGCAGCTCTGGTCCCTTGATAGAGGTTTTCCAAACGCCCTTGGCAGACTTCGCTGTGCCAGGCAGGCAGAAGGAAGCTGCCTTACAACCCTTGTGCTGTCTTTACTGCTTCTTAGTCAAGCATGCCGCCCCAGCTGCACCTTGGCCTCTTGGGAAGCCAGCGACCTGCAGGCACAATGAAGAGCGCACGTGCACGCATGCGTGCCTTAGCCCTGGGGCTTCCCAGGTGGCGCTAGTGGTAATGAAAGCTGCCTGCCAATGCAGGAGGTGGCTTTGATCCCTGGGTGGGGAAGATCTCCTGGACGAGGAAATGGCAACCCACTCCAGCATCCTTTTTTTATTATTATTATTTATTTATTTATTTAAATTGGAGGCTAATTACTTTACAATATTGTGGTGGTTTTTGACATACATTTTCAGTCCAGTATTCTTGCCTGGAAAATCCCATGGACAGAGGAGCCTGGCGGGCTACAGTTATGGGGCTGCAAAGAGTCAGTTCAGACATGACTGAGCAGCCGAGCACGTGCCTTACCCCAATGGGCGGGCACAGGAGACGTCTGAGGTCCCCACTTGATATCACTCAGAAAGCTGCTGCTGCTGCTAAGTCACTTCAGTTGTGTCCGACTCTGTGCGACCCCAGGGACGGCAGCCCACCAGGCTCCCCCGTCCCTGGGATTCTCCAGGCAAGACCACTGGAGTGGGTTGCCATTTCCTTCTCCAATGCATGACGGTGAAAAGTGAAAGTGAAGTCGCTCAGTCATGTCTGCCTCTTAGCGACCCCATGGACTGCAGCTCACCAGGCTCCTTTGTCCATGGGATTTTCCAGGCAAGAGTACTGGAGTGGGGTGCTATTACCTTCTCCCTGAAAGCTGAGGTAGGGACTTCCCTGGTGGTCCAGTGGTTAAGACTCAGTGCTCCCAGTGCAGTGGTCCCAGGTTCAATCCCTGTTCAGGGAACTAGATCCCACATGCCACAACTAAAGGGCCCCATGCTGCAACTAAGACCCAGGGCAGTCAAACAATTTTTTTAAAAAAGCAAGCTGAGGTAGGCTTGTGTGACAGTTGAACAGGGCTCCAAAGGTCCCCTGCCATTTCTGTGGACCACCTCAGAGTTCAAGTCCAGAACAAGAGCCTAGAGGTCTCTGAAAGCCCCCAAGGATACCCCCTTGGTCATTGACAGCCTGCCCTTTTCTGCTTGTTTCAAAGGGCTTTTCATATACACAGACTCCTTCATCAGCAAGTCTGAATTTATAAACAGTTACTCTTATTCAGGAAAGCAGAGATGAGCAGTTTTATGTAAAAGTTACATCTCCATTTAAGAAAGAATATATAATTCCACATTCTACTGTCCCTCGAACTTTATTCCCGTTTATGTAGATCTTAATACAGTTATATAGTCGCAGGGCTAACGTCCCCTTTGGATGGTAATGAGGTCCTCTCGAACCCTTTAGCTGCTATAAAGTATGCAGAAGTTAAATGCACAGATGGAAAAAAATTTGTCTCAATTTTATACTTCTGCAAAATGGTAATTTTGTACTTAAAATGTACAAGATGGATGTTCAGAAATATAGGCTGATAGCCTAAATTATATTTGGTCATAATTTATGTAGTACAGTCCCAAAGAGATACAAAAAGGCAGAGCATAATTTATCTGCTGGAATCAGCGATAGCTTTGCTAAAACTACCATTTAGTCCATCCCCCACAGTTTTGAGCGGCCTCCGTCCTCAGGGCTCACTCTATTTAAGTTCCCCATACTGCTGTTTGATCACATATTGTAGTCTATAATTTGCCTATCATCTGAAGCAAATTTAGGTCCCAGAAGTTATGATCTCTATGTAGCAACCACTTTATTTGGTAAATGCAAAATATTTATAGCAATATAAAAACCAGATGAAAATAAAATTCCTATAATCATTGGAACATACATACTTTATCATTGGGGCTCGTAACGACCGTCAGAGAAGAACTAGCATGTTGCCTAATAAAATTACCTTTGGATGTGTACTTGAACTTGCTGATGCTCGGGAACCAGAGAAACATGTTCTCCAGCATCCTTTTCATCCTGCCAATGACAGGAAATGCCAAGCATGGGCTCTAGATAGGGTTGCCCAAAAGGAAATTAGATGAAAGGCAATGGGCAGGTAAGTCGTTATGGCACCTTGAATACGGATAGGAATTTCCAAGTAGAAACAAATCACTTGGTGAGGGCACTGCTCTGGACAGGTTCACACCCTTTCAACCAGGGACACTGACCAAATAATGAATGTTGACCACAACCCCATCTTTGAGCCAAATCAGTGAACTTCTACGTTGATGAAACTGCTTGGCTTCTTTGGGCCGTCTTTCAATACCAGCCTTCTCACACTTCTAATTGTTTCTCTTTGTGTTTTCAAAATGTTTACTTGGGAGAGGTTCAGGCTGGACCCTACAAAAGACCTGAGACACAGTCTATCAATAGCTCCTTTAAAAAACAGCTAGCTCTTCAAAAGAGTGTGGGGAGAAGCAGAGAGAAGACAGACCTCAACTAGAATGGACATCTGGAAACCAGAGTGATGGCATCTATGCAGTTACTAACAAAACACTTGTTGAGTGCATGTGCCATAGATTCTATTCCTTGTAACAATCCTGAAAGGTAGAGTTTGTCATTCTTACATGATCTATAAGCAAATTAAGACCTAAAGAGGTTGGTCGGTCAAGTAAGGGGTCTAGGTGGACGTAACACCCAGGTCTGACACCATTCAAGATGGTGGTCTCACCTGCTGGATTTTTCCATGAGCCAACACAGGACACCAAGCTTTCCAAGACACCTCTGCAAGAATATTGCTTCTCTATCCTCAGAATTGTCTCCACCCACCTCCCCCTCCTTCCATGCAGCCCTCAAGGTTGCCTTCAGCTGAGTGAAGATGAAATAGAGCCCCAGATACATCTCTCAGATAAAAACTTCAACTGAAGCCTCATATATTTCATAGATACTAAAGAGCTCATGGCTCTTTGAAGACAAGTGTTAGTATTAATCATTGTAGTTGTTCAGATCATTTCCTCGTTTTTAACATCACCCAAGCCCTCCCACCAAAAAGGCACCATTTCTGGGTCCTAGGGAGCCAGACCCTAAAGGATGCACTGGAATTCTCTGGATACTTACCTCCTTCTTCCTTGCAACTTATTTCCAGATCCAGCTTCTTAAGTCTAAGAGAATATCCCCTTTTCAATTCTTTTTTACCCCCAAAATGCTTAAGCACACATTTCATAGAATTCTGCTTAAATCCAAGTGTAATTTTACAAGGTCTCTTTTAAACACTGTTTTTCCATACATCACACTGAAAAAAGGGAAAGAAAATGACCCCAAAATAAATGCACAACCCAAAATTAAAGAGGACGTAAGAAGGGCAAAGGAAATACCTTGGGCTAATTTATCCCCTGGTTCTATAATTGCTTCAAGACCAAATATAGGCTCTGAAAGTATCTGAGCGGGAAGAAACTCTTAACACACAAGAACTGTGCTGCAGTGGGAGAAACTGAGGTTCAGAAAAGAGACCAGTAAGGAGAACAGTTATG